CGGACTGGCGCAATGCTCAGAGCTCGTGTGGCAGCTGCGAGGAGAAGCAGGAGTTAGACAGGTGGGTATTTATATAATCTTCGTTCAGGTATATGAGTATGTAGACAACGTCTTTACGATAGTTTTGTGACATTATCTCGAAGTAGGAAAAGGATAAGGTTTACCAAATAATTCACAACTCCATTACTTTGTTTTAATGCAATGAAAAATTGTTACCCCAAAAGCAACCTCCCACAGACAATCTATAAGATATAAGGATAAAATATAATCCTATCATTATCATCAAACAGTGTATCTTATCAACTTGTACGTGATATACTATCTGATGACATCCGGCGTATTTATTGTTTACTATGCTTACCTACTTTTGTTACATTAAACTCGGGTTAAAGGTCGATAGGACTTTTCGCCCCACTCGTGCTAATTGTCACAATATTGACATGAACAAACAAATACAACAATGTTGGTTTCCACAAATATTTACTTAGTTATAGAGTAAAAAGATTTTTACCATTGCCAATAATGGTCAGGCCTTGAATAGGGTTTGTACATTATTTTTGAACATAGTTTCAACCTACATACTATAAAAAAACCAAATCTCTCGTAATCTCGCACTTCATGGCATACTAAAAAGTTGGCTTAAAACTCACGCCCCGGGGCGTTGGTGGCTCAAACAATCAACTCAAAAGATTTTAATCTAATATTGTTTATTATATAAGATACGAAATGAGTATATTAGAGGAAGTTTGTGAGTAGCTCCAGTGGTAGAAAAGGTTAGCATGGTATGGGCATGTTATGAGGAGGGATGAATCGCATTTTACAAGGAGAACGTTAGTTATGAGTGTAGAAGAGTACACCAGTAGAGGTAGACCTAGAAAGAGACTGATGGATTGCGTGAAAGGTGACATGATCAAAAAGGGAGTGATGACTGAGATGACGTATGATAGAGTTATGTGGAGGACAAAAACCTGTTGCGTCGACCCTACGGAAGTAGGATAATGATGATGTTTATTTTGTTTCTTTTCATGAATTAATGCTTTCATATCTGTGTGGCAGGTGCCCGGTGCACGTATCGCCTTGCAGCACAACCTGGGCGTTGGAGGCGCTGTCGTCATCACCATGTACAAGAAGGGATTCCAAAACATAACCTCAAATAAAGTCTCTGCCACAGAGAACGTTCGAGAAGTGCAATCTAAATTATAATTAAATGTTGTTGCAAAATGGTGTTATTTATTTGGGAAATAAAATAAATTTTCATAACAAAGAGTTTTTTTCTTACGTGTAAGTTTTTTAACATTTCTAAGGGAATTTTAAAATAATCAGGTAATAATGGTTCAAATTACTGTTTTAAAACTTGCTACTTTTTTTGTTTTTATTGACCGACTTCCC